CTCAAATAAATAAGCTCGGATATACTATAATTATATTTGGTATCTACAATGTTATTTATGAAAATTGATTATGTATAAATATCATACTTTTTGAATCTTACAAACTATTTAAGACAAATTATATAATACCATAATTAACTAGATTTGATTAGGTGTTGCTAGCCGTGTTTAGAGGGTGTACATTACGCCTGGCTTTCAAATGCGTAATATATTATTTTATGTTTGATTATTAATATATAGTCACTAAATGTATTATTGTAATACTAATTTATTGCTATACTATATAGAAATTAGGCCCGGTTTTCAAATGTATTATCTTTTGATAGTATTATTTTATTTAGCCTTTCATAAATTACACTGACTTTTTGGTTATATGTATCACAATAATTAATGTCATTTTTACATTGATTGGCAATACTTAGTTACAACTTTAAAATTTCAATCATTTCACAATTATTTACCCTCCCTATATATATAATTATCGGATATGCTAGACCTAAGTAGCAGACTCGCACATTTCAGGATATAAATTTTAAAGCTTTGCTGTTGGCTTAGATAAATTTTAATCTATTTTCAATCCAAAAATAACTAGGCGTGGAATATCCATAGAGATATTGGATATTTATGGTATTTTTTAAGATCATTAATTATATTTTATTATCATTTTCGATTGTAGACGTGGTTTATAAGATATAAATATTTTTCTTACTTTTTTTTTAAACTATAACAAATTTACTAACTTAATTTATAAATATATTTAAAAGTCTATGTATTTGTTAACTATTTTTTTCGTATGTAATATATCAAAACACTCATGTGTTGATGAGTTTCGATTTGACATCTATATTATACATACAAAATGAATAAATAATTTTATTTATCTACATAATTAAAATTAATTATCTATATATTTTTTTCGAAAAATAAAATGAGTTAAACTAACTTAACTAGGAGTAGTTATATGGTGTAAATTGAGAAAAAAATTATAATAAGTGACAATGACATTTTAAATATAAGTAATAATATATTTCTTCAAAAAGTATTTAAAAACAAAAACAAATTTTGTTAGTATTATTTAATTAAAATATAATTTCTTAACAAGTAACCGTGTAGTACACGGGTATTGTTCTTGTTAATAATAAATTTAAATAACAAAATCTATAATTTTAAGACTACATATAAATAAAAGTATGAAAAATATAAATATTGAATTATATGAAATAAAAAAAAAAAAAAAAAAAAAAAAAAA